GTGGTTTTCGTGGTGACCGAGCCTTCGCGTCAGCAGCGGACGAAGCAGACTGGGATGAACAGAACGTCGACAACGCCTCAGAAGAAGCCGGACCTCTCCCATACTGCTCCGTCGACGTGCCCATGGATGAGGATAATCCTCGCGACAGTAACAACGCCGAAATCTTCTACCGTTTCGCCGACGATGGTTACGTAACACCTGTGACAGTCAACACCAACGAAGCAGAAAGGGTAGGGCCAAATTTCATGCCCGACCCAGAAACGGGAGACGAAGCAGCTTATCCCGAGGATCCAGAACTCCCTCGATACTCACAGACTGGGCTGCAAATCCTCGGCCTCGTCACCGCAGTCCACGGGAACACACGCAGCTCGCTTCCTAAGGAGCCTGCAACGGTTCAGCAGGCTCTGGGGGGGGAACACAGGGAGAAATGGCGTGAAGCCATGGATAGAGAACTGAAGGCATTAGAGGAACGCAACACTTGGAAGGTTGTTCCCGTAAGCGTGGCACGGAACAAAACCATCCTTACCGGGAAATGGGTCTTCCGCATCAAGACGAAAGCAGACGGCACGATCGAAAAATTCAAAGCACGCTGGGTCGTACGTGGATTCGACCAAGAGCAAGGACGAGACTTCACCGAGACCTTTGCTCCAGTCAGCCGCCACACGTCACTCCGAATTCTCCTCGCCATTGCCGCCATGAAGAAGAAGAAGTTACGGCAGATCGACGTCGCGAATGCCTTCCTCTACGCACCTGTGGATGCAGAAATCTACGTCGAGCTCCCGCACGGTTCCCACGGCGAACCCAACCGAATCTGTCAACTACTTAAGTCGCTCTACGGGATCAAGCAGGCACCGCGACTGTGGCAGCAGTACCTGCACGCCCGTCTCATCCGCATCGGCTTTAGTCAACTACCTCACGACCAAGGCATGTACCGCCTCACTAAGGGAAGCGACTACGTTCTCCTGATCGTCTACGTGGACGATCTCCTCTACATTGGGTCAACCGACGGCATCGCCACGTGGTTCGAAGGAGAGCTCCAGAAAGACCTCACGCTCACGGTCTCCTCCACCGTTACACAGTACCTCGGGCTCAACATCCGCGAAAGAGAAAACGCCATCTATCTAAGCGCCGAGAAATACGCCGACACCATCGCGAAACGCTTCAGCCTCACACCAAGCGTCATCTCCACGCCCTACCGCTACACATCAGGAACCGAGAAGGAACGAACTACTCTACTCAAGCCCGCCGGCATACGCGACTATCAGAAGAAGCTCGGATGCCTGCTATTCGCCGCCGTCACCTGCCGTCCTGACTTATCCTACTCCGCAAGTCAGCTCGCCACCTATCTCAAGAAGCCTGAAGCTGAACACCTGGCGGAACTTGATCGCGCTCTCCACTACTTCGTCAGCACCGCGACGATCGGGCTAACCTACCACAAGAGCGCAGCTACACCGACTAAGCTAATCGGCTACGTCGACGCCGATCACGCCGGCGACACCGACAACAGGCGCTCACGCACCGGCTATGTCTACCGCCTTGAGCCTATCGGTCCTATCTCCTGGCAGTCGAGCAAGCAGGAGTTAATCGCACTATCTTCAGCAGAAGCAGAATATATTGCACTCTGCTCAGCCACCAAGGAGGGACTTTACCTTCGCGAACTACTGGAAGAAGCAAAGCTAGCCGAGTTACCCAGCTTCACCGTGTTCTGCGACAACCAGTCAGCAATTCGCATCGCCAACAAAAACGGCTTCGCAAACAGGACGAAACACATCGCCCTGCGCTATTTCTTCGTGAAGGACGAGATAGGAAAAGGGAAACTCGATCTGTCATACTGTCCAACATCCGAGATGGCAGCCGATTACTTGACCAAGAAACTCGGCAAGCAGAAGTTCGAATACTGCATGATGCTGACTGGACAAGGCCACGTCACCAGCAGTAACACTCCAGAAGCGAAGGGGAGTGTTGGAAACAATAAGTCCTAAGTGCGCTTCTGTCGTATCAAAATCCAAGGTACCAAGCTAAGCAGTCCCAATCGAAGCATCGAGTCAACCTCGGAGGTTAGGGTAACCGCCTGGAGGTTACGAGAAAGTCAAAGGTCGCTGACCTTTGACTCGACAATTACAGCGCGACAGTTAAGGACACACAACTGACTCGTTACAGAGCAGTTGCCCGAGTCGCGCTATATCGAACCGCAACAGCAATACAGTTATCTATCTATTCCCTGTACTCTTATATAAATCCTTGTATTTGCTTGTTTATTTCAATCAACTTTGCTCTCACACACCAGTGCAAGGTCGGTTCAAATTCTTCACTAAACGCTTCCGCTATTACAACTACTTCACCTAGAGTTATCCCTTGCAAAGATCCTAAGGGGCTATCTCAGCCCAACATTAAAAACCTTTATGCCAACTATATGTCCACCCTAGCATTTTTTTTTTTTTTGCATTTGTAGAAAGTCCCCCAGGTCCTATAGCCGGAATAATACGGTATCTCCTCTCCTCTCATAGTCCCTCCTCCTCACTTTCCCCTTGTTTCTGCCACTAGCGCTTGCTTATGCACTTGTTCTGCGACTGCTTGTTTTGTTGACTATACCCCACTTTGCCAATGGGGTTTTGTCAGAATGTTTTGCAGTGTAGGCTGTAGTGGGGTACTCAAAAGTGAGTACAACCATGTTAGGGTTTCCTATTTGTATCTCACCTGCCTGCTAGTGCAATCTCTCTTCTTCTGTTATTGTAAGAATTTACAAATCCTTACTGAGGCACTCGTTAGCGAGGCCATCCCGAGGGCCACGCGATCAACTGGTTCGGCCTACAATTTCGCATCCAAACCTCACCGAGCCGCCTCCGCACCAATCGCGACCCTTCGCGAGCCAACCTTTCCCCACCTCCCCACCTAGCTAGGTTTTCCCCTATTTAGGCCTCGTCACTTTCATTGTATCGTCAGTTCTTTGAGTTCATTCTATATATTCGTTATTCTGCGCACTCTGCAAGTTCATTCATTACACCTCGTGTGCTGTAACGAGTTCTTTAACAACTTTCTGGCTTTGTACTGTACTGTCGGCATTGGCCACTCAGCACTCTCTGCAGCAAAAGTATCCACTAATCAGCTCGCTTCTTCTCACCGCCCGCGTCAGCATCTCTTCACAAACAACCGCCCACACTTTTGGGCACTGTAGCGCATTGCGCAAAAGCGGAGAGCTCCACTCCGCACCTCGGTTCTCCCATCCCTTTCGCATGCCCCTGCCGCTGCTTCCCCCTCCCCTTTCCCCGCCTCTCCGCCAAACCACCATTCTCGCACTGTTTCGCCAAACCATCCAAACCCACCAGTCACGTCCCGCCCGCCGTATTTCACCGCACCACTATTTCGTCAGACCACCTCAGGGCGTGTTGAAAGTGTGAAGATCGAAGGATCGGGGCTTTGAACCGATTGTCTATACCGAGCGCGACTGTAGATCCTGAGCTCGGTGTTGGCCCCTCGACAAAAACGAACCGCCAAAACAGTCACAGCATGTGTACCACGATCGCCAGAGTACAGTAGCACTTCTGATATTGCGACAAGGCGAGTTTCGCGGGTTACAGCACTACAACGTTGGTCAACAATGTCGACAAAAACCCGTTCCTCTTCGCGAGATGTGTTTTGCGAACTGTGCTTATCGCAATTTCGTGCACTGGTCAATCTCATGATCGGTCGTCAGTGCGGAGCCGATCGAGCGGGCTCCCTCCAGCTATCACAGTTGTGCACAGTGGTTGTACTGTAGCTTGGTCAATTGACGCTACAGTAGCGCGACTAGGGCGGGATCGGTTTAGGGAGGGGATCGATCGCTTACTTTCAACATGCCCTCAGGACGCGTCGCCTCTAGCTCGACCCTGGAAATATCGAACCTCCACCGTACTGGAAACCTGATTGTTTCTTAACCCCGCTAAATTTCGAACCTGAACGACTAAGGGCGGGGTCAGCGCGGGGTCAGCACGTTCGCACCGAACGTGCGAACGCAAAAATTTAAAGATTGCACGATCGGTGCAAGAGGTGACGAGCCCTCTCGGTCAGTCAGATCGACTCGCCTCACCTCACCTCCCTTACACTCACTTCATGCATGCTTACTGTCCCTAGTCGCTCGCTTGTCAAAACTTTCATTTGAGGTGCAAACTTCGCTCGTGCTGGTAGATAGGTACAGCCGCTTTTGCAAAACGATGTAAAAGAGCCAGTGCGCTTCGAGCAGATGAACAGTAGTAGACAATATCTTCGCCTTGCGGTCTGTGGCGATTCGTTACGGCTCGGGTTGCTTGTAGCAGCATTGGACTTTATTTAGTCGACAGTCATCTCTTCGTGAAGTGAAGCGACTTAAAAACAGGTGACTGATGTGGGCGGTTCATGAACGACGTGACACATTGGTGCGAGGCTAACGGAAAGGAATGATTAGCCAAGGAGAGGAGACGAGCAGGTGATGTGGGCGATGGACATAGCTCGCCTGAATTGCCCTATCTCATGTTTACACGTGAGGGTACACTGTCGAGCTGTTGTGATCAGGTAACGCGCGGAGTAGCAGTCTGAGGTACTCGCTCAAAGCTGTTCCGCGCGGTGTAACAGGTCGTAAGATAAGGGAAAGGGTACGAGGGACAGGGGGGCGCCGGGCTGAGGGAAGGAGGAGGCACGCGGCGGTGGCGGCGGAAGCGGTCACGCAGGGACAGCGAGAGGAGATGTAACATGCGTGCCGACAGGGGGAAAGGCGTGACGGAGGCGCGGCAAAGAGGAGGCACTGCGAAGGGGAGTGCCTACGCGCGTTGACCCGGCGGGGCTCATCGCGGACGCTGACAGGCGCAGTGACCTCCCCTCTCGCTCATTGCCTGCGCCTCTCTCCTCCCCCCCCCTCCCTTTACACGCCGTCCTCTTCCGCAATCGCTTCCCGCTAGGACTCCGCGACACCGCTCCGCGCGCCGGTATTCTGCTGCGATGCGACGAGACGCGCGGAATTATGCGCGCAGAATCATGCGCGCAGAACTATGCTGCGCTCAACCCCACTTACCTCTTCTGCCCACTCCCTCCGTCGTTGCTTCCTTTCCTCCCTCTCCCTCCCTCTCCCTCCTCTCCCTCCCTCCCCCTCCCGATCTCCCCCGCAGATGGTAGCCAATTCCGACGCCGCGCCAGGCGGCAGCAGCGGCCACTGGAGCAGCGGCCACAGCAACGGCATCCGCGCGCACGCCGCCTCCACCTCCCCTTCCCCCGCGCCCTTAGACGCCCTCGCGCCGGGCGACCCCGCCAGCGTGCCCAACAGCGGCCACCACAGCGGCCCTCACAGCGGCCACCACCATGACAGCAGCGGGCGCTACGGAGACCGCGGCGGAGCTCCCGCGGGCGGGGGGCACGCGCGGGGAGGCGGGGGGGGATGGTCGTCGGACATGGACAACGAGGGCGAGGCGGGCGGGATGGCGATGGCGTACGACATGACCATGCCCGACGACAAGCACGGGCTCACGTCGGGGCTGGCCTCGCCGCTCATCCACAGCACGCGCTACGATGACGACCTTGAAAAAGGGGGGGTTGGCGGAGGCGCGAGTATCATGGCGGGGGGCGCAGGGGGGAGAGTGGGCGGTGCGGAGCCGGCGCGGGCGGCGGGGGCGGCGGGGCGCGGGGCGACAGAGTTTGGGCGGCGGACGAACACGACCAAGGACGTGCGGGAGCATGTGAAGTCTGTGATTCAGCAGAACGAGGGGCTCACGCAGCCCTTTGTGGTGCGCAACCTCACGCTCACCTACTTCCTCACCGTCGCCGTCGTCATCCTGCTGTCCCTGGGCGGGCAGCTCGCCGTGCACTTCGCCATCCAGAACAGCAAGAGCGACGCCACCGTGGTCAACGTGGCGGGGCGGCAGCGCATGCTGAGTCAGCTCATCTCCAAGGACAGCCTCGAGATCTACGTGCTGCGCACCGACAACCGCAGCGTGGCTTACTATGTGAGCGAGCTGAGCGAGCGTGCGGCGCTGTGGAACAAGTCGCACTACGGGCTGTGGCACGGCAGCCCAGAGCTCAACCTGCCCGGCACGGGCAACAGCGCCATCGTGAAGAAGATTGAGGAGCTGACGCCGGCGTTCCTGGCCATGTTCTGGAGTGCGCGGGGCATTGTGGATCTCAACCCGGACAACATCACGTGCCCCTCGGAGCCCTGCGAGTAAGCCCCCGTTTTCATACTGTCTTCTGCGCAACATCCCCTGCCCCTCCCACACCATCATGTTCCCGAGTGCAAGGGCATCGTGGGCATCAGCACAAGCCCTGCCACTGTCTTTGTCATCTCAATTCTCTCCTCCTGTTGTGTTTTCTGTGCTGCTGTTGTGCTGCTGCTGTGCTGCTGTCGTGGTGTGTGCATGGTGGTGACGCCATGCAGGCAGCTGAAGAAGCATGTGGACACGATAATGGAGAACGAGGCCTTCTTCTGGAAGACGCAGGACGCCATAGTGCTCATGTACCAGGAGGATGCCGACACGCACACCAACACCATCCTCATCCTCTCTTGGGTGCTCCACATGCTCGTCATCGTTACCCTCGTTCTCGAGGGTGTTTTCGTGTTCCGCCCCGTGCTGCGCCACATGCAGTCGCTCATCAACGAGCGCTTCGCCCTCCTCCAGCGCAGCCTCGTGTGAGTCTTTAGTTGAGAGCGGTTCAGCGTGGTGCAACCTCGTGTGTTTTGTGAGTTAAGAGCGGTGCAGCCTCGTGTGAGTCTTGTGCGATTAGCAGCCGTCTTACCTTGTGTAAGGATCTTAGCACCCTTCCACTGCTGCCATCCGCTCAATCCCTGCACTCTTCCCCCCACCGCCCTTCCTCAATCCCTCCCTTTCTCTTTCTCACATTCACACCTTCCGTGCGTGCATGCAGGTCGGAGGCGGAGAACAGGGGGGTGTCGGTGCTGATGATGGGGTACATCAGCCACGAGCTGCAGCAACCCCTCACCTCGCTCTCGCTGCACCTCCACCACGCCGCTGCCGCCATCGCCCGCCTTGCAATCTTGCACCCCAAGCCCCCCACCCCTTCCGTCGCCCTCTCCCCCGCCCTCCTCGCTACTGGTAGTGGCACAGGCGGAAGCGGGTTCGAGGAGGGGGGAATGGGGGGAGCGGAGGGGGGAGCGGAGGGTGGAGGGTGGGGGGGAGGAAGGGACAAGGAGGAGGCGGGGGCGGGGGTGGCGGTGGCGGCGGCGGCGGAGGCGGTGGGAAAGGCGCGGGTGTGTGGCGAGCTGATGAGCACGGTGGTGGGCGACGTGGCCAACTTGCGCAACATTGAGCTTGGCCGCATGATGCTGGCCGTTGAGCTCGTTGACGTCCAAGACCTCGTGCAGCAGGTGAGGGAGTGTTGCAGGTAGGGCCTTGGGTGGGTGCAATGGAAAGGGTTGCTGCGTGCTAAGATGTGATCCTCACAATGTGGAGATAACTACAACGGGAGTTAGACTACGGGAAAGGCACAGTTGTGAGAGTGATCGTAGCGTTCCTTAGCGTTTGCTTGTGTTTTCTCTACGCACACATTTGCGGGGAGTATTGACAAGAGTTTCACTAGCAAAAGTTGTGAACAATGATTGAGCATGCAAAACAACAATGACTTTATTAGAAACAAACGTGCATGCAGACCGATCGCATGCAACAATGCTAGCGTAGCACGGTCGGCCGCGTTTCAACACTGCAAGGTTCGCACCGCTCCAGTGTTGCAGAAAGGCGGCTTGCCAACGTTGTAAGTCGACGGCTTGCCAACGTTGTAAGTCGACGGCGTGCCAACGTTGCAGCAAGGCGGCTGTACAGCGTTGCACTCGCATGACAGCTGCGCACCTACTTCGCAGGTGCTCGCAGTTGATTGGCGTGCTGTGCCCCGTCACGTGCACAGCGGAGACATCAAGTTGTCCACGTGCTGTTGACTGCGCCTGATCAGCCACGTCGGTCTTGAGATACTATCTCTGAAGTCGGCTTCGTCAGAACCATCTGGGTGACTACCGCGCACCTTCGCAGATCCCTATCGCCCGGGCAACTTGGTCGACCAGGCAACCACGTCGACCAATGGCCGCTCTTTGCGCCCGTCGACCGCCTGGGTCAACAACCATCATCTGCCGATTTCACGAAGTCAATCACTCCCCCAGGTCGACCACTCTTACTCAACCAGACCTACTGGTCGCTGACTGTACCCAACCAGCTTCACCTGGTCGGCATCGCCAGGTCAACGCCCTCCCAGGTCGTCCTCCCAAGTCGACCTCCCAAAGTCGGCGCCCTCCAAGTCGGAGCAGTGGCCACGTGCAGGTCGACCAAAACCCATCGACCAGGTCGCCAAATCGGCGTCGTCCACTGCTATAAGTCGGTTGCACCTCCCGCACACCGGACCACGAAGTCCGCTCCGCCCAAGCGAGGATAAGGCCAACACACAACTCCTGTTGACAGATAAAACTATAATTGGTGGTGCGTGCTGGGTATAAGCTCCTCGCATTCATTCCACCCTCGTCTCACCCCTCACATTCAGCTCCTTTCCTACGTTTTTGCCTCCCTTTCCCTCCCCCTCCTTCCCTATGCACTGGGCATTGAGCTGTTGAGAGAGGAAAAGTTGAGGAGGCAAAAGTTGAGGGTACGTAAGACGAGGGTACGCAGTAACAAGTGTTTTTCTCACTAACAACTGACCCTATTCTAGCCTAACTACAAATTATATAAACATACAAACATATTGACACACCCCCTAGAGTAGACAAGGGAGTTGTTTTTTGTCAACAATAAATAAACTCAGGACGGCTTTACTACTCCAACTTTTGAGACAAACAAAGCCACAAGGCCAGTCCAAGTGTATTTGATACAACAAGCAAGCGGAGTGGCTGTGGAGAGGAGTGGCGAAAACGGAACTGCGCGAAGATCTGCTGCACCATGTAGGACAAAGCGATATACTAAGATTTTAAACACAAACTTCGATCTCACCCGGTCGAGGATTTGGGAGATGCTTGGTTCGTGGGAAGGCTCTACATAGAGAAGTATTTTTGTAATATGTGCTCAACCAGAAAATAATTGAAACACCTTCACAAAGTTTAGTCTACATCGAACACAAATTCTTTACATATGTGCAAATCAAGCATGCAATGTAGAAACATAGTATTAGAAACAGACAGATGTGAATGCATTTGATGTCATCACACAACACGTCTTCCCCTCCTGGCATTGCACGCGGGCAGGCTCTAAGTGTGGTAGCCCCAAGGTTTTCCCTCAACCCGCTCCCGCCTCTTCCATTCCCCTTTGCCTTGCGCGGGCAGGTGCTGAGTGTGGTGGCGCCGAGGGTGCCGGAGGGCGTGCAGCTGCGGGTGGACGTGGATCCCAGCATTGAGGCGCGCCAACTTGACAAGCACCGCCTCCAGCAGGTGGAGGGTGTGGGGGGTTGCGGGGGGGTGTGAGTGGGGAGAGGAAGGGGAGGAGGGGGGGTGAGCGGGAGCCTGCATCATTGTTAAGCAGGCGCAGGCAGCAGGTCATTTTGGGGTAATGGTGGGGTGGACTTGCATTGTTTGGGGGGTGCTTGGTGGAGGGCACATAGGGCGGGCGGTAGGAGTGGGTCGAGTTAAGGGCTTACTGTGCTGTTGGGCAAGCATTCCGTCCAGTCCGCTTCCATTCCTTCCGCTGACACTCTCGCTCCCTCCCTAAACCCCGTGAGTCTGTTTTTTCTTGTCGACCCAAAACAACACCCATTGCCATTCCGTCCCCTTCCCTTGCCCTTTGTCCTTTACCCGGTTGCCCTGTGCCCCTTCCCCATGTACGGGGTTACGTGAGAAGGCGAGCGGCTGTCCTGTGCTGCCCCCCCTCTCCATTCACAGGTGCTGCTGAACCTGGTGGACAAGACGTTTCGCCGCACGAGCGAGGGCGTGGTGGTGGTGCGTGTGAAGGAGGGCGTAGTCTTTTTGATTCTACTCAAAAGTCATCTTGCTCCCCCCACACTCCATCAGGTGCTGCTGAACCTGGTGGACAATGCCTTCCGCCGCACGAGCGAGGGCGTGGTGGTGGTGCGAGTGAAGGAGGGTGCAGCGGCGCACCTGCTGCGGGTGGAGGTGCAGGACTCGGGCGAGGGGCTGAGCGAGGAGGAGCGGGCGCGCATGCTGGAGCCAGTCATGGACTCCAGCGGCGTCACCGAGGGCGAGGGGGCCGGCCTCGCGCTCTATGTGGTCAAGCTGCTCGTCGACCTGCAGGTGAGCGTGAGGTGCAGGTGAGGCGCTTTTGGTGCTTGTGTGACCTCCAAATAAACAGCCAGTGGAGCTGCAGGGAGCATGTGTGATAGTGGTGACGCTGCTGTGTGCAAGTGTGTGATGCGTTGCTCCCAGTGCAAGTGTGTGATGCGTTGCTCACAGTGCAAGTGTGTGATGCGTTGCTCCCAGTGCAATGCAGGAAGTGCTTGAAGATTTTCAAGGACTTGCTCTCATTGATGACGTCCCAACCTTCCTCCTATTGTGGCCACCGTGCAGGGCGGCACGTTTGGCATGGAGAGCGAGGCGGGTGGCGACAATCTGCACTGGGTGGAGCTGCCAGCCGCCTCCGCCGGCCCGGTGCCGCCCACTGGGGTGACCCACGACCGCCCCGCCATCACGTAGCCATGACCACCATTGCGTCTCTTTATCGCTCTGTGTGCACCCTCCCAACCCAAGCCCTGTGAACTCTGGGCTCCTGTATTTATGGCCAGGTCTGGCATGCGATACCCCTTTTATTGTGTGGTGCAAGTCAGCCTCTTACCTATGGTACGGGTGATTCTGCCCATAGTCAACAACGGTAAAGTTTCTGGCATATCTGTGTACCGTAAGCCCCCGGATAGAAGCGCAGGCCTCGGATAAGCGCCGGCGCTTATAAAAGGATGAGGGCGCTTATATCCGGTCCTCGATTATAAGCGCACCCCCTAGAAAAAGATGATATATTATATGCGCATGTTTGTTTTTCATTTGAAAACCTTTCAAATTTCAGAAACGAATTTCGCATACTCAGGGAAACGAACAACAATTTCGATTTCCCACACTCTGGACTCACTTTTTGCGCGTCTAGTCAGCATGTGCTGTACTTTTGTCAGGGTGAGCTGGCAGGGGATCACTCCCTGCCAAGCTGAACGAGAATCAGATTCGCGACCCTAAATGTTTTCGACTCGATTACAATTGGCAGAACGAGATATACAGGTGGTGTAAAACAAATATATATTCTTTTTGCCATTTTATATGCGCCGGCGCTTGTAAAATTCCTCAATTATAGGCGTACCCCCCAAAAAACAGTGTTTTTTTTATACCCTCAGGGACGCTGTTGGGCTGAAAAAGCCCTTTAGGATCTTTGTGACAAAATTAGAAGGAAGAAAGAGGATTGAACTAGCAAGAATGAGGATACAAATAGCAAACCCTAGAAGAGTTGTACTCGCTATAGAGCACCCCACTACAGGCTAGAACATAAGAATAATATTCTGACACACCCCCATAGCCAAAGTGGGGTGTAATCAGCAGAGCAGGCAAAACAGTACAAGCTCAGGGTGGATCACAATGTCACCACACAATCTAAGCACAAGTTCAAGAAGAAATAGTTTAGAGTTCACAATTATGAGCAAAGCTAGTGGTAGTCACAACGGGCAAGTGAGGAGGAGAGAGAGTGAGGGGAGAGGAGATAGGAGGCGACGGCTGAAGCTGCAGACACACGGGCAACAGGAGGCAGACTGGCACAGCGGCTACCGGACTAAGCGCCCGGACTACAGGAGTAACAGGCCCCGCGGCTAAAGTAGCGGCAGACGAGCAACGGACCCACGGGCGGCTGGCGTAGAAGTCTAGCTCACTGGGCTACCGGGACAGCGCCCCGGACTACAGGTGCTGCGGACAACAGTACGGCAACCTCCATGCAGCTTCCCCAAACAGTCCCACCCCCCCGACACGCACCCGCTGCTACACCGCTAGCTCCACTCCCACGCACCCCCCTTAAACCCTAAACCCCAGTCTCCCACACAACCACCCCCCTCTGCGACAGCTGCAGCAGTGGGAGACGAAGGAGGAGGAGGAGCAAAGGGAGGAAGGCACACCGGCCACCCCCATACCAAGCGGCCCCCGAAGGAGCCGCGACGGGCGACGGGAAAAGGGGGGGGGGGAAGGCGGGGACGGGGCCGGGGCCGCGACGGGTAGGGCGACGGGCCGCATGTAGTGCGGCGGTAGGGCCGCAGGTAGGGCGGCTGGTGGGCCGCAGGTAGGGCGGCGAGTGGCCGCAGGTAGGGCGGCTCGCGGGCCGCAGGTAGGGCGGCGGGTGGGCCGCGAAGGTAGGGCGACGGGTGGCCGCAGGTAGGGCGGCGGGTGGGCCGCGAAGGTAGGGCGGCGGGTGGCCGCGAAGGTAGGGCGGCGGGCGGCCGCGACGGGTCGGGCAGCGGGGCCGCGACGGGTCCCTGTCGCCCGTCGCGGCGCCTCCAGAAGGCGACGCGACGAACGACGGGGCAGACGCCTGCCGCGCGCCTCGGGGCGCACAGCGGGCAGAGAACCGCCGCGCGCCTCGGGGCGCACGGCGGGCAGAAAACCGCCGCGCGCCTCGGGGCGCACGGCGGGCAGAAAACCGCCGCGCGCCTCGGGGCGCACGGCGGGAAGGAAAAGTAGCAGCGGAAGCGAGGTGGTAACCCACCCACAGGATCAATCCAAGGGGATCGACCTGCTCTGATACCATGACAAAATTAGAAGGAAGAAAGAGGATTGAACTAGCAAGAATGAGGATACAAATAGCAAACCCTAGAAGGGTTGTACTCGCTATAGAGCACCCCACTAGAGGCTAGAACATAAGATAATATTCTGACACTTTGCAGAGGTGAATTCTGGGTAGAGTTGATGTTGTAGCCAGGGCCTCAGAAGTCAGCGAAAAAAGGCTGATTTAGGTAAAAAAGGCTGAGATTTCAGACTTCGTTTAGAACCAGGGCTGATTTTCCAGCATTTTTTATGAAAAAAACAGGAAAAACTATGAATTTTATAGTGTAAAATGGCATAAATGGCTAATTTATATGATTTTCAGCATACTTTTTTGTACCAACTCTGATTGTTCAGCCTAGCCCAAAACCAATCTGAGGCCGTGGTTGTAACGGAAGCGTCTAATAAAGAGTTTGTGAACCACCTTGCGCTAGTATGTTAGGGCAAAGTGAATTGATTATATATGAATACAGGGAATATGAAGAGACACTGTTATAACTACTTTACTGTTGCTGTTGCGGTTCGATACAGTGACGACTCGGGCAACTGCTCTGTAACGAGTCAGTTGTGTGTCCTTGTTGTCGCACTGTATTTGTCAGGCTAAAGGTCGCTGACCTTTGACTTTCGCGTAACCTCCAGCGGTTACTTCAACCTCCGAGGGTTGACTCGCTGGTGCCTCGATATGCTCTGCTTCGCTTGTGCCTTAGTGTTTCGATACGACAGAGGCACTTAGGAACGATTGTTTCCAACAGGCGCTTCTATCCGGGGGCTGACGGTATCATGCAGATGGAAGTTCTTGCTAGCCGGAATCTCATTTATCCTTAGGATGTACAGCTCCCTGCTTTATTGATAGAATTGTTAAAAATGCAAGTGAATGTGTACAACAGAGTTAAGGGCACGTGACTATACACTGTCTATGCTAGCTAGGCGGGAACCTTGGGAATACGAGGTTGGGTGAAGATTTGGTAAGGGAAAACCGAAGGTGATACAAGGGAGCCTCGGTTTGAGCGATGTTGGCCGAACACGCGAAGTCCGAAAGTACGGGGATGTCAACCCCGATAAGCTTAAACATCCCCCCCCCCCCCCCCCCCCCCCCCTCCCCCTCTCGTAAGAAAGGTGGTCAACGTCCGCAGCTCGCTTTCGGGCTCGGTAACGGTGCTTTAAGTAAGGCGGATGGCACTGTCAAATATTATAGCCTGTAGTGGGTTGGGCTATATGGGGTACAACTAGTTAGGGTTAGGTGATGTACCCCAATCCTGTCAACACAACGCATTCCGCTGTAGTTCTCGTTCTGACATGGTATCAGCAGTAGGTTAGCGCTCCTAGTCCTAGGCCCGCCCTTCCCTACCACTAGGGTTACCACTGCACCCTGCCAGCCCGCCAGCGCCCTACCCCACGCCCCAGCCGGCGCGCCCCTCCCCTCCCCGCCCTTAGCCAGCGCGCCCGCCAGCCAGCCAGCGCGCCAGCCAGCCAGCGCGCCAGCAGCCTGCGCGCCAGCCAGCCAGCCAGCGCGCCAGCCAGCCAGCGCGCCAGCAGCCTGCGCGCCAGCCAGCCAACGCGCCAGCGCGCCAGCCCGCCAGCGCGCCAGCCAGCCAGCGCGCCAGCGCGCCAGCCAGCCAGCGCGCCAGCGCGCCAGCTAGCCTGCGCGCCAGCCCGCTTGCACGCCAGCCCGCCAGCGCGCCCGCCAGCGGGCGCACCAGCGAGCCCGCCGGCTCGCCTGCCAGCGCGCCCACCAGCGAGCTCGCCAGCGCGCCCGCCAGCACGCACGCCAGCGCGCCCGCTAGCGCGCCCGCCAGCGCGCCACGCCAACGGGCCCCGCCAGCGCGCACGCCAGCGCGCCGCGCCCGCCAGCGCGCGCCCTGCTTAGCCGCCCGCCAGCGCGCCGCGCCCGCGCGCCACGCCAGCCAGCGCGCCGCGCCGGAGCGCGCCCCGCCAGCGCGCGCCCCGTCGCCCCGCGCCCAGCCAGTGCGCACCCCGCCTGCGCGCACCCGCCTCGCACTCACCTCCCTCTCCTCCTCCTCTCGCGGCTGGCGGCCGCTATCACTTGTCCTCGCCCCTCATGGCGACATCTCGCGTGCTCCGTTTCGACCCTGAGGGGCGTGCGATCGACTTTAGTACCTGGCTGACGCAGGCCCAACGCCACCTTAGGAGCCAGCGCCAGGATGGCGTGCACCTGTTTGCGCATGCGTCCGGTGCTCTGCCCGCCCCGCCGCACCCTTCACCGGTGCCCACTACCCCACCGCCTACTTTCGAGCAGGAGGCTGAGTACCAGCGCCGGTTCCTCGCTCGTGACGTGTGGGAGTCTCGTGACGCTGCTGCCTGCCTCGCCCTGACCGACCTTCTCCCGCCGACTGAGGCTGTCCAATTCAGTCAGGTCGAGTCTGCTGCAGACCTTTACACTGCTATTGTTGCTCGCTACTCCACTCCCTCCTCTGCCTCCCTCAGCCGCCTCCTCGTCCCCTTTATCTACCCTGACCTCGCCTCCTTTGAGACTGTTGCTGACCTCGCTACCCACCTGCGCTCCCTTGAAGCTCGCTTCAAGGCCGCTTGCACTGAGGAACAGCTTGCCCTTGCACCCCCCCCCATGTTGCTCACTATTCACTGGTTAGTCACTCGCCTCCCTGACCGTCTAGCCACAGCCCGCGACGCGCTTCTCCTGAAGCACCCCACTGAGCTTACTATCGATCTTCTTGAGACCGCTCTCTCGAAGATCGAGAGTAACCTCCTCGCTGTTGCCTCCGCCTCTTCCGCGCCTCCTCCTCGTCTCTTTGAGGGGTGTGCGGTACCACAGCTTCCCACCTTCACTGCCTCGCTTGCCACTGCCGCGTCTTCTGCCTCTGAGGAGACGGCGGCCGTTTCTGTCTCTGGCGGACAGAAACGTGGCAAGTTCGGCAAGAAGGGAGGGAAGGGCG